GATATGACTGACACAGAACCAGTGTTAACCTGTCTCTGTGTTTCGTTGTAGGTATGACTGACACAGAACCAGTGTTAACCTGTCTCTGTGTTTTGTTGTAGGTACCAGTACAGTGATGGTTTGATTATATGACTGATACAGAACCAGTGTTAACCTGTCTCTGTGTTTTGTTGTAGGTACCAGTACAGTCGTGGTTTGATGATATGACTGACACAGAACTAATGGATTTAATACCATTCTTCGAAGGTCTCTCTAAGGTGGATAGTGTTTATACACTGCTTCAGAATGCCAATACAACCAACACAGATTCTTCATAGTAGTGGCGTTATTGACCTGAAGGTCAAGGTTGTATGTGATGACCTTAACCAAACTTTCAAGGTCTTGTTTGATGGTGATGATCATGCATTTGACCTTTTTTATATTTAACATATGCAAAGATGACCTCATAAAAACATTTTGGTGAGACAGAAAAGGAAGACTTTATGAAGTTTTCTGTCTGAGATCGCAGCGGGGACTGCCGACATTTGGTCAGATGTGTTTTTGAGGTTGTGATTTTGTGTTTTAGAACAAACAGGCATCAGAGAACAGCAAACCACCACCTCCACCAGGGCATTCAGCATTCACTGGTGTATATGTCACAGATTGAAGAGCCAGGCTGCAATAACAAATTAATCATTCATTGCAGAGTTATGGGCCCTGGTTCTTCAAAGTCAAACTTGACCTCGTCTGTTACTAAATATTCATTACGGGTGGAATAGTGGTACTGAACAACCTGTACATGTGTTAGCTTGTGTACTGGCTCAGGGTGGAATAATGGTACTGAACAACCTGTACATGTGTTAGCTTGTGTACCGGCTTAGGGTGGAATAGTGGTACTTAACAACCTGTTCATGTGTTAGCCTGTGTACTTGCTCAGGGTGGAATAATGGTTCTGAACAACCTGTACATGAGTTAGCTTGTGTACCTGTTCAGGGTGGAATAATAGTACTGAACAACCTGGACATGTGTTAGCTTGTGTACTTGCTCAGGGTGGAATAGGGGTACTGAACAACCTGTGCATGTGTTAGCTTGTGTACCGGCTTAGGGTGGAATAATGGTCCTGAACAACCTGTACAGGTGTTAGCTTGTGTACCTGTTCAGGGTGGAATAATGGTCCTGCACAACCTGTACATTTGTCAGCTTGTGTACTGGCTCAGGGGGGAATAATGGTACTGAACAACATGTACATGTGTTAGCTTGGGTACCGGCTTAGGGTGGAATAATGGTACTGAACAAACTGTACATGTGTTAGATTGTGTACCGGCTCACGGTGGAATAGTGGTACTGAACAACCTGTACATGTGTTAGCTTGTGTGCTGGCTCAGTCTGTTAGGAATTATATTGCTGATACACAGCCGGGCCAGGTTAAATCTTTATCACTATTCTTCACCTGTATCATGTGTGGGGATGATTAGTCCTAATTATTCTAAAAACAGGTATTAATATCAAACCTGAATAAATTGTATAGTAACTTGTCCTGCATTAGTGTTCCAAGATATGATGGGGATCATGACATTTAGTGCATGTATGTTTTCTAGACCTAATTAAACAGAGAACAGAATATGTTCACTTCCTGGTTGTTAACTGAATAATGAACAGAATATGTACACTTCCTGGACGTTATTGAACAGAGAATAGAATATGTTCACTTCCTGGACGTTATTGAACAGAGAATAGAATATGTACACTTCCTGGACGTTATTGAACAGAGAATAGAATATGTACACTTCCTGGACGTTATTGAACAGAGAATAGAATATGTGCACTTCCTGGACATTATTGAACAGAGAATAGAATATGTACACTTCCTGGACATTATTGAACAGAGAATAGAATATGTATACTTCCAGGACGTTATTGAATAGAGAACAGAATATGTACACCTCCTGTACTTAGGTCAACATGTATATGAACTATCATACATTCACTTAAGGCTATGTTCCTCTGAGATATGACAATTTTGCACTTTTATAAAATTTCATGTTTATATTTGCAATTACATGTAAATGAAACCTTTTGCAACTATAAAAATAACCGGTCAAAACGTAAGGATTTCGATTTATTGGAGTGTTATGTAATGCTTATTCAAATTTTAAAAAAAAGAAGATTTTTTAATTGAAGTTTTGATACATTTTCTGAAATATCAATTAATACATTTCTGATTAAAAATACACATCATTTAGGGTTCCTTTACCCTTTATTTCCTTCAGACAAAAATTGTGCAGATTTTAATAAGGGTTTTAAATTGAAAGTTTGAATAGATACTTTTGTTATTTTCTCTCTTAATAAAGACTAAAACAGCAAATCCAATAAGGTCTAGCTATATATAGGATGAACTGCTTATTAGCTCACCTGGTCCAAAGGACCAAGGTGAGCTTATGCCATACCGTGGCGTCCGTCGTCCATCCGTCCGTACGTCGGTACATCAACAATTTCTTTAAACGACTTCTTCTTCTTAACCTCTAATTGGAATTCAACTAAATTTGACTGGAAGCATCCCTAGGTGGTGGGGATTCAAAATTGTAAAAATGGTGGGGCTGATCCCCCAGGGGGCTGAGGGGCGGGGCCAAAAAGGGTAATTTGGCTATATTGCTACAAACAACTTCTTCTGTAGATCTATGCACTGGATATCAATCATATTTGATCGGAAGCATTCATGAGAGGCAGGGATTCAACATAGTACAAATGGTGGGGCTAACCCCCCGGCTAAGGGGTGGGGCCAAAAAAGTTTATTGCTTGGAAATGGTTGAGATCCCTACCGTATAACCATACATACACTTGCTGAGTATAAAGAGAAGAATGCACATTTGCTTTCAGGTTGGCCCTAGGGTTTGGCCCCACCCTTGGAGACATAGTCTCTGGGTCATAACTTTGAAATACTGTAGTTGAGATCCCCACCCCAAAACTATATATACAAATGCTGGGCATAAAGAGACGAATGTAGTCGTGATATTAGAATAGACCCTGGGGTCTGACCAAACCCCTAGGGACCTAGTTTCTTAGTCACAGCTTGGAAACAGTTGATATCCCCACCCTATAACCATATATACAATTGCCGAGTATAAAGAGATGAATGTACATATGCTTCCAGGATGGCCTTGGGGACTGCCCCACCCTTGGAGACTTAACCCCTGGGTCATAACTTTGAAATGGTTAAGATCCCCATCCCAAAACTATATACAATTGTTGAGCATAAAGAGACAAAAGCAGTCATGATATTAGAATTGATCCTGGGGTCTAGCCACAACCCTAGGGACCTAGTTTCTGAGTCACAGCTTGGAAGCAGTTGAGATCCCCACCCCATAACCATACATTAAATTGCTGGGCATGAAAAATCTAGTACAGATATGCTACAAGGATTGGCCTTGGGGTCTGGCATATTCCCTTGGATCTCATTTGGAGAATATTTTGCCATGATTGCTTAGATATCCAGGTGAGCGATACAGGCCCTCTGGGCCTCTTGTTTATTATTCAGGTACCCTTAAATTTGGAATCAAATGTAAATTTAATTTAAAGGTTGCCTTAGTTGAGGTATTAAATACAGAATTTAAGCAAGATGAGTTTCATTTTCATATAATAATCTGATTCCATTTAGCCCTGTGCATTAATGCTATATTTTTTCTGTGTGGAAAAAAGAAGTGTAATGGTTCAGTCCTGATAAGGCACTTACGGTTTATTCTCAAAATATCTGTAATTGAACACATTTCTTGTTCATGTAAATAAATAAATTTGAAGAAATTAGCTGTATTCTTTGAGGCATTTACTGAGCAATGAAGTTTTATTTATTTTAAATATCATAAATCATTTCTAAACTGAATTGGAGATATATGACATTATATAAATGTGAGAGATCGAAGAGATCTCAGAAGGATATATTCTGAAGTGAAGGAAGGGCATTACATCAACTATGCATGCCAGATGTGTGACCTCTGAACTGTTGAGGTGTGCACTCCTCTGTTAAAGGATGAACACTATTTCCTTGATTTTTATGTGAAAACAGTGCACTAGAGAAATGACCGAAGGTGAGGTGATGAAGTAAGGATTTCTCCATATGGTATTATTCCTGATGAATGCCAAAAACAGTTTCACATTTTATCATTATTGTACTGACCCATATTGAACTAGGTTAGGATTTTGATCCATCGGTATTCTACTCTTCCTCCTTCATTTCTGCATTCTTTGCTTTGGGTTGTGTTGGGTTTTAGGGAATGGTGCTTGTAACGGGTGAAATCGGCATGCTACAAGGTATGTTTGTGAGGACATAATGGGGCACTATTATCAACTGTCAGCAATACTCGCACAAAACATAGATTTTTTAACAAGGAAATGCATAACCATTGCATTTTTTTGAGTCGGAGGAAAACTTTGATGGTTGTTAAAAGTCGAAAACAGCTTAACTCTGGCAAAGGCTTATGAAGCTGCAATATCCCTTCCCTTGCTTTCTGTGTGTTACCAACATCTCAACCCTTCCCCATGTTTCTGTGTGTTACTGACAGCTCCACCCTTCCCTAGGTCTGTGTGTTACTGACAGCTCCACCCTTCCCTAGCTTTCTGGGTGTTACCGACACCTCCACCCTTCCCCATGTTTCTGTGTGTTACTGACACCTCCACCCTTCCCCATGTTTCTATGTGTTACTGACAGCTCCACCCTTCCCTAGCTTTCTGGGTGTTACCGACACCTCCACCCTTCCCCATGTTTCTATGTGTTACTGACAGCTCCACCCTTCCCTAGCTTTCTATGTGTTACTGACAGCTCCACCCTTCCCTAGCTTTCTGTATGTTACTGACCCCTCCACCCTTCCCTCACTTTCTGAGTGTCTGTGGACCACATTTGCTGTAATGTTAACCCATCAGCCAGTGTTGACACTTAAATAACAGTGCCTTATATGCTAGTGTACATATGTGTATACAGTACTTGGCATGTTGCTCCCCACAGGAGAGCTGGGTACAAGTCTCCATTACAGTAATTCCCCAAATTTACTCAGTTATCATTGTAACTACATGTTTTTCTTATATGTAGTTAAGTGTTAGACTAGGTTACAGTATATGAAATGTTTATACTAAGGTAAAACTTAACCTCAAATAGAATCAATTACCTGCTTAGTTGATGAAGTTCTAATCGCAATCAATGTAGATTAAAATGGCATGAATGTCCCTTTGTTTTGAGAATTTAATATTCATTATATGTATATATATTTTTTATCTTTGTAACTTCTTAGTTAAAATTGCATGTATCCTATGGTATGTGTTTACTGGCCATTGTATTTTGGTGAATTTATGCAGCGCTGCATGTTCTTAATTCCTATATCCCTCGTGGTGATCATGGTATAATTGTGTTTACCTCAAGGTCAACATGCCAATCACAGCAATGTTATTACTGGTCGTTCGAAATTACATTTGAATGATCCATAAAAATGAGATTTCTACAACGTTTCATATAGGCAACAAATATGTGAAGTTCTTCACAGTTTTCTTCACACTCTGTCAATTCTGGTGTCATTTTGATGGCACTGTTTTATTAAGACCATGTTTTGGTAATAGAGTTCTCTCCCCTAGACTCCTTCCCTTTCTACCTCCTCATCCTTTAGGTTGGCAGCTGGTTTTGTGGTGCACTACCCTCTCCTAGTGGTTTGCTAAGATCAAAGGACAGACTTTTTTTTAAAGTAGCATCAACAAGAGTAGAAAAGAGTTCATGGTCAAGAGACCAACTGATCACAAAGTGTAGGTCAGGTATAGATCAGACGGGTCAAAGGTCGTTGGATATGTCATTTGTGATCAAAGATCATGTGTATTTCTATATTTCATACAGGTGTAAGAATTGATTTTGCTCCAATGACAAGTAAGGGTAAGACAATTATAGATCACATGACATCATTTGAAGTTATAATTATTAGGGTTTGACATTTCCATGAACCTGGATATTAGAGGATGTGACCTACAGAAAGTTAAAGTTAAATGTTTAAAAACATTTGAAGAGGCAGAAGGTTTTGTAGAGGAAGTGGAGATTAGCCTGTGAACCATGTGCATGATACTATTGTGTTAGTGTAAAACTTTTATTAACCTGATTTGCTCACTGACAGCAAATTAAAGTCAGTAAATTAATTGGAAAATAGCCCTCACAAATAGCTCAAAAGAAATATTTCTTCAATTTGTTTCGCCAGACTATTTTTTCGCTTGTAAAACCTTTTTTCTGATTTATAGAACTTTGACATGTAACTTTACAACAGTAGTGAGTTAGGATCTTTATCAAGGAAGCTGGTTACAAAGATTTTTATAAGTTATTAAATTATATTATTATTTCTATCAACTGGTGGAGGAAATCATGCAATTAATGTTTTATTTGTGAAATGTTCCCTTGTTAAAAACTCTCTTTGACCTGTTCTTTAATTACCTGTGACCTTGTACTAACTCCTCCGACAGTGTAGTAGCCGTTTCCCTGTAAAGATAACTAGATGTTGATCTTTTAAATCCTTAAATTACAGAATGCTGCATAAAACAACATCAGCCAATAACCATGTATGATTTCAGAAGATGTATAGTGGTATCATATATTAAACACTGTTTTTCTGCTGTGTATTCAATATTCCCAAATATAGAAATTCCAGGAATGGGTCTCAGAAATCTTCCTTTCGAAGGTATAACATGTGCCCATATGTGTGAATACACATCCCATGTGTCCGTGAGAATGTCCTCAAGGAAAAACTCTATATATTACATGTTCCAGGAGGATTGAGGCTGATCAAATCACATAAATGACAGCCTTTACCGTAATTAGGTCTCCTGTGTCAATCACAAATACACTGGCTTAATCTTTTACAAATATTATTATCAAGTATATTTTTTTTCAATTTAAGCATCGACTCTCCAAAAGTTTTAAGGATATGCATAAATAATTATATACCTTTTTATAAATCTTGCGTTGTTTAAAACAGCAGATTTTTAATTAAAAGTGGCGAGCCTCGGGATGAGCTTGATAACAAGTTTTGACAACAGTCTGGTGTAGCTGGGTGATACCTAAATATTTCATACGTGTTTAACAGAAAGTCACAGGAAAATCTCTTACATTGTACATAGCATGAGAGGCAAAGATTATTTTTGTTATATTAACTAGAGATAATTAATTTATATAAGATATATATATATATTGCCTTTATACTAGTAACTACATTGATTTGATATTAGTATATGTTTTCATAGTTTGTGAATCTGTGTGGTCGGTATTTTACCACATCATTACAGCAACGAGTGAGAGATAATGTGATTAGTACCCCCCTCCAAATATTATATTTCATCAAATATTTCTTCGCCTTTCCTTACATGTTTGTAACTGGGGAATCTGGTGCTATGAAGGTTGATCACCTGAAATTAGGCCTATTATAATTTTCATTTTACACTTGAAATTTTAGATTCATTTTCAGGTGTGGTATGTTTAAATTTTATTGTCATAGTTATATTTTATAAATGTTCTCGATGAAGTGACAAAGATATTGTTTTGGTCATTCACCACCATGGTTACCATTTTCCCAGTGCATTCATCTAAACTTCTATGACTGTTTTTGAATATGATTACTTTAGCCTTGATATCCCCACCAAACAGCTGGCCAGGTATCTGGAATCCCCACCAAACAGCTGGCCAGGTTAGATGTTTGTGTTACACCTGTCCCTGTTGTTTGTGGTGTTGAGGTTTCATTAGTTTGTAGTACTGTTCACTAAGCTTGCAGTGCTGATTCATGCTCTTATTTTCCTTGCTGCATTTTGATTGGGTTTCTACTCCAGTTTTCTGGGCGAGTGACATCATCTTGTGTATTCCAAGAATACAAATACACTAACTTATTACTGAAATTTTTGTTGTACTTTCTGACGCTGAACTTTGATGATATCACAAGCTATCTACGAGGACATTTTGTTTAAACTGCGCTCAAAGTACATGTTCAACAAAGACTGTCACAACATTGGCCTCCTACATGATCCAGTGCGCTGAGACACTTCAGAAATTTTCTGTATTTTCATTATTTTAGAGGTTTCTGAATATATTACCTATGATGTAAATAGGGCCCAGCAGTTATATTTACCATGATCATTTACAGTTGAACTTAAAGTTAAAATGAACTCTTAAGGTCGTCTAGTCGGAACAGACATCTTCATAAACTGAAATGTCATGCTCCAGATAACCAGATTTTTATTAAACAACAAAAAAAGACAACATAATTTGACCTTTAGGTTATTAAAATTGATTCTCATTGGCCATAATATCAGATAACCGTTTTTGCCATATTACATGATATCATTTAGATTTTTTTGTTACATTTTTCTTGGATTATTATGAATTTGAAAAAACAATTACATTTTTTAGCCAATGATTTTTCAGGACCTGTAATACTTGTACATCCATTATTCAGTGACCTTCACAGTTTGGTTCTGAATTATTATGTTGGTCTTTACCAATTACTACAACTTCCTAATGCTTGTTTGGGTTTCCATAAAAGAGCAGGAATGTACTTTAGCATTTAGTATTTCTAATTAACTTCCAAATTTGAAAATTGTACAAACTACTCATAGTAAAGGCATAAAGTTAACAGCCTTCGAGTGGGATAATAAATTTGACACTGAGTTATCAATTAACCCTCCTTCCTCCTAGTAAGATATCACTAAGATGCTTTCCTGGTTGAGGCATTTGACACACTCTTCATAGGAATGTTTATTTGATGTCTTCATAGGGGAGCATCAATTTGATTTGAATTGGGCATCATTGTGACTCCTTCTTGGGTGAGTGACTCCTAGTGAGGCGAGTGACTCCTTGTGGGTGAGTTCGTCCAAGTGGGTTAGTGACTCCTTGTGAGTGAGTGACTTCCTATGAGGCAAGTGACTCCTTGTGGGTGAGTTTGTCCAAGTGGGACAGTGACTCCTTGTGAGTGATTGACTCCCTGTGGGGTGAGTGACCCTCAGTGGGTGAATTACTCCTAGTGGGTGAGTGACTCCCAATGGGGTGAGTGACTCCTAGTGAGTAAGTGACTCCTAGTGAGGCGAGTGACTTCCTGTGAGGCAAGTGCCTCCTTGTGGGTGAGTTTGTCCAAGTGGGACAGTGACTCCTTGTGAGTGATTGACTCCCTGTGGGGTGAGTGACCCTCAGTGGGTGAATAACTCCTTGTGAGTGACTCCCTGTGGGGTGAGTGACCTTCAGGCGGTGAATGACACCTAGTGGGTGAGTGAATCCTAGTGGGTGAGTGACTCCTAGTGGGTGAGTGACTCCTAGTGGGTAAGTGACTCCCAGTGGGGTGAGTGACTCCTTGTGGGTGAGTGACTCCCAGTGGGGTGAGTGACTCCGTGTGGGTGAGTGACTCCCAGTGGGGTGAGTGACTCCTTGTTGGGTGAGTGACTCCCAGTGGGGTGAGTGACTCCCAGTGGGGTGGGTGACTCCCAGTGGGGTGAGTGACTTCTAGTGGGGTGAGTGACTCCCAGGGGGGTGGGTGACTCCTTGTTGGGTGAGTGACTCCAAGTGAGGCGCGTGCCTTCTTGTTGGGTGAGTGACTCCCAGTGGGGTTAGTGACTCCTTGTTGGGTGAGTGGCTCCCAGTGGGGTGAGTGTCTCCTTGTGGGGTGAGTGACTCCCAGTGAGTGAGTGATTCCTAGTGGGGTGAGTGACTCCATGTTGGGTGAGGGACTCCTATTGAGGCGAGTGACTCCCAGTGGGTGATTGACTCCTAGTGGGTAAGTGACTCCCAGTGGGGTGAGTTTCTCCTTGTTGGGTGAGTGACTCCAAGTGAGGCGCGTGCCTTCTTGTTGGGTGAGTGACTCCTAGTGGGTGAGGGACTCCTAGTGGGAAAGAGACTCCCAGTGGGGTGAGTGACCCCGTGTGGGTGAGTGACTCCCACTGGGGTGAGTGACTCCGTGTGGGTGAGTTACTCCCAGTGGGGTGGGTGACTCCCAGTGGGGGGAGAGACTCCGTGTGGGTGAGTGTCTCCCAGTGGGGTGAGTGACTTCTTGTTGGGTGAGTGACTCCTAGTGAGTAAGTGACTCCTAGTGAGGCGAGTGACTTCCTGTGAGGCAAGTGCCTCCTTGTGGGTGAGTTTGTCCAAGTGGGACAGTGACTCCTTGTGAGTGATTGACTCCCTGTGGGGTGAGTGACCTTCAGGCGGTGAATGACACCTAGTGGGGGAGTGAATCCTAGTGGGTGAGTGACTCCCAATGGGGTGAGTGACTCCTAGTGAGTAAGTGACTCCTAGTGAGGCGAGTGACTTCCTGTGAGGCAAGTGCCTCCTTGTGGGTGAGTTTGTCCAAGTGGGACAGTGACTCCTTGTGAGTGATTGACTCCCTGTGGGGTGAGTGACCTTCAGGCGGTGAATGACACCTAGTGGGTGAGTGAATCCTAGTGGGGGAGTGACTCCTAGTGGGGAAGTGACTCCCAGTGGGGTGAGTGGCTTCTAGTGGGGTGAGTGACTCCCAGTGAGTGAGTGACTCCTAGTGGGGTGAGTGACTTCTAGTGGGGGGAGTGACTCCATGTTGGGTGAGTGACTCTTATTGAGGCGAGTGACTCCCAGTGGGTGATTGACTCCTAGTGGGTAAGTGACTCCTTGTTGGGTGAGTGACTCCAAGTGAGGCGAGTGACTTCTTGTTGGGTGAGTGACTCCTAGTGAGGCGAGTGACTCCTAGTGGGGTGAGTAACTCCCAGTGGGGCGAGTGACTACCAGTGAGGCAAGTGACTCCTTGTGGGGTGAATGACTCCCAGTGGGGTGAGTGACTCCCAGTGAGTGAGTGACTCCTAGTGGGGTGAGTGACTCCCAGTGGGGTGAGTGACTTCTAGTGGGGTGAGTGACTCCCAGTGGGGTGAGTGACTCCGTGTGGGTGAGTGACTCCCAGTGGGGTGATTGACTACTAGTGGGTAAGTGACTCATAGTGGGTGAGTGATTCCCAGTGGGGGGATTGACTCCTAGTGGGGAAGTGACTCCTAGTGGGTGAGTGACTCGCAGTGGGGTGATTGACTCCTAGTGGGTAAGAGACTCCTAGTGGGTGAGTGACTCCCAGTGGGGTGATTGACTCCTAGTGGGTAGGTGACTCCTAGTGGGGTGAGTGACTCCTTGTGGGTGAGTGACTCCCAGTGGGGTGATTGACTCCCATTGGGGTGAGTGACTCCTTGTGGGTGAGTGACTCCCAGTGGGGTGATTGACTCCTTGTGGGTGAGTTCGTCCCAGTGGGTCAGTGACTCCTAGTGGGTGAGTGACCCTCGGTGGGTGAATGACTCCTAGTGGGGCGAGCGACTCCTAGTTGGGTGAATGACTCCTAGGGGGGTGATTGACTCCTAGTTGGTGAGTGACTCCCATAGGGGTGATTGACTCCTAGTGGGTGAGTGACCCTCAGTGGGTGAATGAATCCTAGTGGGTGAGTGACTCCCAGTAGGAGAGTGACTCCTAGTGGGTGAGTGACTCCTTGTGAGTGAGTGACTCCTTGTTTGGTGACAATGTGACACTGTCCTGCTAACCATTTAGTAGCATCAATTTGGATTGGTTTTTAATGTCCTCCAGGGGGGAGTATCAGTACTAGGGGGTGGGGGATCAGTACCAGGGGGGAGTATCAGTACTAGGGGGTGGGGGATCAGTACCAGGGGGGAGTATCAGTACTAGGGGGTGGGGGATCAGTACCAGGGGGGAGTATCAGTACTAGGGGGTGGGGGATCAGTACCAGGGGGGAGTATCAGTACTAGGGGGTGGGGGATCAGTACCAGGGGGGAGTATCAGTACTAGGGGGTGGGGGATCAGTACCAGGGGGGAGTATCAGTACTAGGGGGTGGGGGATCAGTACCAGGGGGGAGTATCAGTACTAGGGGGTGGGGGATCAGTACCAGGGGGGAGTATCAGTACTAGGGGGTGGGGGATCAGTACCAGGGGGGAGTATCAGTAAGATGGTGAAGGAAGGAGAGGTTATTTCTAACATAATATCCCAAGTCCTATAATATCTGGAAATGTGAAGTTTTTTTTGTTTTTTTTTAAATCAATAGATTTATTTCAATTAGATTGTATGCATATATTTACCTGGACAAAAACAGTACTTAGTATCCAATGATTCATATTCACCATTATATGCGTATGTTAGAATATGTACTTTCCTTTGTCACTTTTGTCCAATTCTTTCTGATGTAATTCAGATTTTAATGATGTAATTTGTTTTATAGATATTTTTTACCATAATGGGAAAATCTACCATTCAATAGTCTCATGATTGTATACAATTGTTCATCCATATACTGTAGATAAATACTATTTTGTAATACTGCACATTGCTTCATACTAGATTCAACCAAATATCTTGAGTCGTACAATTATTAATTAATTTAATTTTTTCCTGTTTTGCTTAAATACTTGGTTGTCAATCAATCAGCATCAGCAGAGAATAACTTCAGTACTGGGTTATCAACTGTGTACAAAAACAGAGAATTACTTCAGTACTGGGTTATCAACTGTATACAAAAACAGAGAATTACTTCAGTACTGGGTTATCAACTGT